AAAATCCCTGTTGTTGGGCGGATGGTCCGGGGGGGACTGGGAGTGGTTAGGTGTCTTCCAGCTTCGATTTCCACTTCTCTCAGCTGAAATAATTTTATGTTGTACTTACTGAAATTGAGTGGATGTTTCCTACCAACCTGTACGAACTACAATTTATGCTTCTATCCCCTCCCCCATTTTGCAGGAAGTCAAATTAGGAATTAGTTCGCTGCAAGACCTTTATAAAATGAGAGCAGCTCAGACTACTTTTCTCAATCTGTCCGAGAACTTTGTTGCTTCTTCTTCCTTCTTTGTATATTCTTGCAAAATGCAGTGATTGTGTTGAAGGCTGCTCTGTGACAAATGACCACCACCAAAATGAGTCTATGCCATGTCAATGAGCCTCCCTCACACACTCAAACACAGAGTGGCCCATATCAATGAGAAGGTGAAAGGTCTCCATTTACATCTTGTATTAATTATGAGTGACAAGCCAAAGGTCACCCAAGGAGAAGAGGCCACACGTATGGACAGAATATAGATCTATACTTCTACCTCTCGTCCATCTCAGTCCCTTATCTATCATGCCTGTCTTAACACTCCTCTTGGTAATGCACTTTTCTTTTTAATCCTTCTAAATCTCCATGCACCCATTGCAGTTAGTAGTTAATTTTCTAAATTTTTGTAATAAGTTTATAACCTTGTTTTAAAACTGAAGTGAACATTTCCATATCATGTTGGAATTTTAAAAATCATTTTTAAATACTTCCTTTTGTGTTCACCTTTCTGAAAAAACGGATGTCAGTAGAATTAACCAAAAAAAGGGTTTCACATATTAACCCAGTCACATAATATTGAAGTGTTGCCAACTATAGTTGCCAAGAATCTCAATAAAGCATTGGGTAAACTTAGCTGCCAAACCATTTGGAGCAAAGATGTCAGGTGTTAACAGAAATTTAAGCGCTACGTTGAGTCTGTCAGAGTATCTATAGTGTGTGCATTCGGTGGCTTCCACCTTACTTGTTAATATATTTTAGAACGTGGATCATAGCACAGAACTGAGGTAAGGACCCTGGAGAATAGCAGGTGATGTTTCTTTGTGTGTGTGTGTGTGTGTGTGTGTGTGTGTGTGTGTGTGTGTGTGTAAGTGTCTTCAGACCTCTCACTGGCAAACAGATGGCAAAAGCACCACAGGTAGAGTCTACATTTCTTCACATGCATCGTGGATGACAATAGCACACAATCAGATTATCTAATGTCTTCTTACTGCGGCTGTTTTTGCTTTTTTAAGTTTATAAGTTAAACAAATATTGATTACTGTATGGATATTTAAGGATCTAAATCAATAACTGGAAACTAATCTAATAGGAACAAATAATGCTGAAGCAGATGTGTGTTTACCTCTACAGTGAGAGCTGTATAAGTAGTTGAGTTCAGAGTTGGGTCCTGCAGGTGCTTGATGTAAACCAGTCTATAACAGGAAATAAGACCGTTGGGCTGGCCTGGTTGACGCCATCTCAAGTAAACGGAATAAGCACCTGTTAACATACAAATCATGTGTTACGTGATGTGTTATGTGTTCAGAAATATGGGTTAACTAAAAATTTCAAGCATCTGATCACACTTACCAGTGGGTATGATAACAGGGGATGCCATTTCTTGTGGTTGTGCCTCTAATGTTTGGACTAGAGCCCACAGACTGGTCACGAAGCCTTTGGAGTTATGGGCACTAACCTTGTACTGAAAGAAGCTGAATGGTTGCAGGGTGGGACTTGCATCAACAAATTCAAGGGGCCCCATGGACCAAATAAAAACCAGCAACTCCTCTTCTGTTCCTAATGGTCGCCTAAAGTAAAAACAAAAAAAAATTGCTTTTAATGATTGTTTATTTCTGCTGGTGCTCATCAAATGTGACATGTGAAGTGTCATGTTTTAATATCCAAAAAATATTAGGACCTATACTTCAAAGGCTAAATTACTATACTTTTAAGGCTAAATTAAAAAAAACAATTTTTTTTTTTTTTTATCTACCGTAATTCTAGGTTTTAGAGGAAACCTGTAACCCAGAGCAAATATTTTTGGGGACATTCAGTATTTGTAGAAAGAGGAAAAGTGATTTTTCCTCTTTGCACAATTAAACATTTTATGAAGATGTAGGAATGGTCATTCTGTGAATAACTTGATCTAAAAATCATGTTACATTTGCATGTCAAAATAATGATTAGGTTTATAATTACCTTGGCTAATGTCAAATGGTTACTTTTAGGGCCAAAAGAGGTCCAGCAGCAATACAGCCACAATTTGAGACCCCTGGACTAAAAAGAGTCTAGAAATGTCAAAAAAAAAACTACTATGGTCATAGTTTCAAATATGTGATTAATAAAACATATACACATATAAGTAATCTTAATGTTTACATATATGGTTCAGTTGGATTATTTTAAAGTTTTATGACTTTTGAATATATGGTTTCCATGTGACATCACTGTGATTCAGGCAATTGTTGATGCCTCCACCTAAGTCTTCTGGAGTATCTGACATAGTAAGTCAGGCTAAATTATGCCAACTGCATTACAGAAATCCAACAAAATTATCCTTTACAGTTATGTCTGCCTTATCGATGATGGCATTTTCAACTTCAAAGAGATCAACAAAATTAGGTCCTGATAACTTGTTGATATTGCTTGTTTGCTTGCTCAGGTCAATCCACAAACATCTCTTTGGGACCTTTATGACAGCGTATTTCAGGGCAAAAGTTCTATCTACAGTCATTGAGAACTGCTGTTTTCTTTGGTAGCATGTTACGGCAAAACTAAGGAAAACACATAAGGCAAAGTCAAATATGCATGTTGGAGTTAAGATGAGGCTCGGTATCAATAGAAGCAACACATTTATCAGTGGTTCCAGGATGCCACCAGAGTGTAAAAATGTAATATTGCCTATTTCATGTATTCAGGGATGGGGCATTCGCTTTTAAATGGAACTTAAAACTGAGAAGTCAGAGTACAGAGGGCAATTTTGTTTTCTTGCATATCACCACCTAGACATCAAGACAAAATACGGAAGATGCAATCTTCAACCCTGAAATAATTGTAAGCTTTAAAGGGACTAGCAAGTTAGCATTACATAACATTAGCAAAATGCATGTCATCAACTCGTATTGTCATATATGTAATAAATATGAAAAAAAAAAGGACAAGACTTTAAAATTTATATACAGACATTTGTGCGAGATATGTATAGATTAAACAACAGTAATTGTACCTTACTAGAGCTACGTATGTGCACAGGTTTTTAGGCACAGCTACAATAAAATAGGGTGGTGAAAGTCAAAATTTATTGTAAGTTTTGTAGGTTTTTGTTTTTTTTCAAAGAGAATATTTTCCTGTACACTTGTCCAAATGGTAAAAACTGTGGACGACCCTGTACACTTTAAGATAAAAAAAATGTTCAAATAAGTATTCAGACATGTCGTGTCAAGGTAAAAAATATTTGTCCAAAATTTTGTTTTTTATATTCTCCTTAATGGTTCTCCTGTGTGTAAACTAATCAGATGCAATAAATAATTTCAAATAACATTTTGTGTGTGTGTGCGCATATTTAATAGAAATAACTTTAGAATTGCATATATCAGCCCTGCACACATAATAAACTATAGGTGAAGATGCACGTACGGAAAAGAATGAACACACTTTTAAGTGGATTGTAATAAATACTGTTGTTGAAATACAATACCCATACCTCCTAATAAAGGTCACTTATTTATAATATTTTCTATTAACTTAAAAACACATTACTATCCATATCCAAGTATATTACCATCAGCACAGTTTATACTGTATGCAACAGTTAAGTAGTTTACTTCAAATATGATTGCAACCGTGTAATTTTTCTCAAAGGATTTCACTATACTTTGATGCCCTCTAAGTACTTTGAAAATAAACACCCCTAGCTTCTGGGCAACTGAAATAAAAAATGTAGCAGCACGTCTTAAACATTGTGTTCCTGGGTGATGCAAGCATCCTGATATCTTAGTAAGACTGGGGGTCTTTGATTGTGCAGGCTTTCAGGTGTGTGACACCGTAAAAGAGAGACATTTTCCCGTTTTATCCAAGCCCCGGCTGCCTGAGTTGGAGGATTCCAGATGTGTCAGAGGGGGCGTGTGTGTGCTACTATGCTAATGCCTGTTTCCCGAGGACTTAAAGGGCTTAGTCTGCTCTGACCCTGCATACAGATCACACTCTTCGGTCAACAAGCAGACCATGACCTTCAGCATGTTTGTGTGTATATATATATATATATATATATATATATATATATATATATATATATATATAGATGTATATACTGTAGATGGTAGGCAAGGTAAAGAACATGAATACTTCAGGGTCAATTACAGTAAAGGAATTATGACACAATGTAACACCTTCCCTTCCTTTTAATTTCATGTTTCTTATGTATGTCACCTGTATATATGATAGGATGTGATGAGTCCATTCGGCTTCTTTGGAGGTGTCCATTGGATCTCCGAAACATTAGGCCCCAGGGCCTTTACTGTGGGGGGCTGCAGACCTTCTGGAGTTTTCTCTAAAGTGTGGATGTAGACACCATCTCCAACCCCACATCCCTCTGAAATAAATTAAACAGATTAAATGTTATAAAACACATTTTAAAGTTTTTTTTTTTCTCCGAAATCATCTTATGAATAAAAACTATTTCCAGTCTCAACCTATGACCTTGGTTTAAAAAAAAAAGCAAGTTATTTCCTGGTAGAGTGGGTTGTAAAAGTATCAGAGCAGTGACCTTTGGGTTACTGCATGCAAACCACTTTGTGTATTTCTTTCTTGTTTATTTCATTATTAAAGAGAGAGAGTAACTAAATCAACACTCGCCATTCTGACAGGCCTGTATTCGTATGTAGTAAGTGGTGAAAGGCTCCAGATCCATCACAGAGAGGTGCAAGTCTTGTCCAGCATGACGACTTATGGTTTTGTGACTTCCTGGATTCAACAGGACATTGTAGAAGACAGGCTGACTGCTGTTTAGATGAGCTGTGGAGTAAAACAGGATGTTATTACTTACAGCAAGACTTTTTGATGGGAACCTTCTTATAGAAACTAACATCAAATGCCTCTTCAGTTTAACTAATTTCTTTTGGATAAGTAATAACCGGACAGGGCATCATGAAATAAACAGAATTTCTATGTTCTAAGATTTTTGCTATAATTCAGTCCTAATAATTCATTACGACAAAATAAAGTATTGCTAAATATTCCATGTAAAAGCTTATAAAGAACCAAATCTAGATTCTTATTACTGTAGTTTTAAACCTAATTTAGATGCTTTTTGAGAACAAAAAATTAGAGAAATTATGAGGAGCTGTTTAATGGGTTTTGTTATTCTTAGAAAGTAGACAGGCCTGAAGTGTTATTGGTATTAGACTGCTTTCTGGGTACTCAAGCTCTCTCCCACAATTTTAAAACAGGAGTGTTAGGTTAAATGCTTTTTCTAAATTGCCCTGAGGTGTGAGTGTGTGTGAGCAGGGTTTGTGTATGTGTGTGAGCAGGGTTGTTTGTCTTTTAGGTCTCTAACACTTTGTGAAGGTCTTGGTCATTACACAGTGGTAAAGGGTTTAGCTCTGTCTAATGACCTTATTTTAAACTTATTTTACTATCTACTGTTATGAAAAATGTCGGTTAGGTTCTTACATAAATAGCTATGGCATAGTACTGCCAAAAAGTACTTTTAGGTTCTCATTGTTTTCTGTCTATTTTGTCACATGATACACACAGGAGTTAATACTTGATAGCTACAGTTTTAGAAAACAAGGGTGGTCTAATATTCTTTGTTAAATGACTGTATTTCTCTGATGCAAGCTGTTATTTGTGGACCCACTGTATATACTGTGTATATCCATGCACTTTTTTCTTCCTTTGGCAGATTCTTCTTCTTTGACTTGAGCTGGTTTAATGAGTAACTTTCTCCACTGTGAGATCAATAAATACAATCAATCACTCAAACAATTAAATGTGAGCGTATATTTGTTGAACCTGGCCAATGGTTGATTCTGATTTTGTTCATTTATTTTATTCCCTTGTTTCCCTGCTTTTGGTTATACGTCTTGTCTTCTAAAATGTATTAAAGAGGATTTTTCTGAAAAATTAAGTGTCCAGATTCATCTAAAATGACTTGATAGATCGATGGCATTCTTGCACTTATGGTCCCCCTGGATGACTGCGAATCTTCACAGATATAAGAACGTTGGTACATTTCCAAATATGATTAATTCATTTAGTTCATCTTTAGATAGTGAGGTAGCATTGAGGGCAACTACAAAATTTTGCTGTTTGGTCTGTTTTGATCTAGTTGAGATGTCTAAGTTATCAAAATTATAAGTTTTATCTAAGCCTCCAACTTCTGTGTTTGATCAAATTCAAACCAAGTTATTTAAGACGATTTTCCTTCTGATTTTCACCTCCATTATAGTTAAGACTGATCTTTACCTAATATAGGGATATGCACTACAGGCTTTTGAGGTAGCTCTAATCAAACCTTTACTTACGAAATGACTTGATAGATCATAGACCTATGTCTGATCTTCCTATCTTTATAACATTCTAGATAAATACTTGCTAATAAAGTTTGTGAGGACTTACATCCTAAATAACTTTTTGAAAAGTTGCAGTCTGGTTTTAGAGCTCATCATAGCATTGAAAGATCACTAGTAAAACAATGATATTCTCCTGAACTCCCACAATGGATATGAATATCCACAGACTACAGGGGGAAGGTTAATGCTACAACAACATTAAAACTGTGACTGTGATCCCAAATGGGTACAGCAAAGTGAATGTACAGGTTATAGGCACTGATGATTCAGCTCTCCCGTGATTCAACAGAACAACAGCTAACTTGGAGACTCAGCTAGTAAACAAAATACTAATAATAAACCCACCAGCAGTCCTTTCTGGCATGTTTTAGGAGCAAGGCCAATGTATCAAGGTATATGACTCATTGTAAGGTCTTGGCAATGATTCAAATCATAATAGCCAGAATTATAGAAAAATACCCCCTTCCCCTCAGAATGGGAAATCTCGACAGTTGTCTCAACAGCTGATATGAGTGAGCCAGCTGAAACTAAAGGAATCCCTCTTCAAAACTGGTCTTATCAGCAAAATGACCCTTCTGCTCTCAACAACAGGAAAAGATGTGATAATATCTTTATTTAATACAGTCTACTCATAAGCTTCCAGACAATGGGTGCCCCACTGGGCCAAAGACTATAAAGGTTTGAACACCCCACTGTGTGCTTAAAATATTTTGTTTTGGATTTCACCCCAAAGCAGATGTGTTTTTTGTAACTGAGTCTCTCTTCCTGTTGGATCAATGAAATTGCAGCTGAATTGCTGCATAGTCCGACTAAGGCCCTCTTGCAGAAAATCGTGTCAGGTGTGAACATCCCAATTGGCTGTTAATGAGTGCTAAATACCACAACCTCGTTGGACACAATTTTTTTGTTTGATTGATGCAAAATCAGATTCGGTATATTCTGGGCTTCAACACCTCAACTTGAAGGCTTCGTAATTTATAAGTGGGACACTCTCAGGTCTGGATGCTCAGTTGTTGAACTGCTCTGTTCTTTTCGTTGCAATCGAGACAGTGGCTTGGAATTATTTGCTTTGATGACTTCGGAAAAAAAAATTTCAACATGTTTTGAGCGAGAGTATACTGTACCTCAAATTATCATCTGTACTGTCAGTCCATCAGGATTATGATCCTATTTACTGTAAATATTTTTGTTCAGATGGACAGACCCCCTGGCTGTGAGCGATAGTGCTGGGAGTCCCCAGTGAAAGCTTTCTAAAGCCGGCGAGGCTTTTGGGGATTTCCTGCTGCCATTCCTATAAAATATTTTTTGACTTGACATGTGTTAAGCGCCTATAGAGTGGCCAATAATAGCATTGGAAAGTGGGACTTTTTCAGCTTTTCGCACAGCGTCAACCAATCAGAAGGGTTGATCCAGTTTCTACCATTTTCTGCGTGAGATTGCTACAGTTTCACCAACACCAGTGACTGTCTATTGTTGCCACATATTCATGCAGAAAGAGCAAATCCTGCAAAGACCATGACTAGATGCAATCTGCTGGGTTGCCTTAGCTAAAAAGTTTTAACAAATGGGACTGGTAGGAACCTTGAGGTGATATGTGTTGTGAATCTGCGCCATATAAATTAACTGCATTGAAATTAGGGATGGCAATTGCTTGCTTTTATTGACTAATTACATTTTTGAAGATGACATTTTTTTTCTTAGGTTTCTGCAGCTCATAGTGACATTCCAACACTTTTTTACTAAGATGTGTATTCATAGCTGATTTCCTATCCAAAAAGCATGTTTCACAGTGTGAATTTCATTGCCCTTTAAAATAAGGTAAACTTCCAGGGGATAACTGAGATAAAAGTTGTTTTTTTAATGTTATTTTTTTATTTTGAAACTTATAAAAAATATAAGTCAGGAATGCATACTTGACAATTTTCCAGCTGATAGTCATTGATACCTTCCAAAAGATGGGTGCACAAGCAACAGAGAGCAGCCTTGAGGGGACTGTGAAGCACTGCGGCATGGAGTACAACTGTAGTTAGAGCTTCAAAAGCTGACACACACAAACGTATCCTAGACATTAGAGTTGTCAAATGTATCGATACTCAAAACAGTATTGATACTGGTCCTAAATCCGATACGAATCTGATCTTTTCAAATGCAACCTATGTCTAAACGGCCAGATCGCCTTCATCTGACCTGAACATCATTAATACTCAACAAAGGTCACTATTCTGCATCTTGCTATGCAGGAGCCGGAAGAAAAACAACAACCATAGCAGATGATAATGGAGAGTGCAGTCTTTCCTTCCAACCATCATGAAAAGTTTGAGTTTTTAGGTTTGGAAAGATCACTAGATGTGCTCCAGCACTACCATACATGTTTACTTCTGAAAACACAGAGCACTCTTGCTTGTGACATCATTGCGTCCTCTACTGCGCATGCAGGACTGTTGTGTTGTATGAATGCACTTCACACAGGAGATCAAATACAAGTCACATATATTTGGAAATGTGAACAGCAACGCAAAAAAAATGGACTTTAAAAAAAATCGGAATTGAGCATTAAGGTCTGCAATGTGAACGTAGCCTTAGACATTTCTGAACACTCTGCTGACAAGCATTACCAATACGCTTGTCCACTGTGAGAAATGTATCTCCTGTCTGGAAAGTGAAATTGAGAGGTACTACATCCTGTTGATTTAATTTTATACGGCACAAAACCAAAGTTAAATGTGCGTTATTTTCAATATCATCATATGACATTGTTTCGCCACAATTTGATTCATTGCATGTTCGCAATTTGTCTTTCAAAAACTCACTGGAAACTAAAAGTAGTTCAATTCAGCTGCAGGTGGCCCGGAGATAAGGATTTTACCACGCTGGTCCCCATGGGAAATGTTGTGTTCCTTTAGACAGTAGATTGATGTATTTGTTCTAAAAATAATTTTTAATCATTCGTTTTATAAATCAGGACTTAATTTGAATTTAATTGATGTAAAAACATCTTAACATTTGAAAGTTATCTTCAGGAATGTGTTTCAGCAGTTTTCAACAGGTTAGACCTTCACATCACAAAAAGTTAAATACCAGATGCACTACTGCAGAGGGACCAAAGTTTAGGTAATTTTAAGAGTGTTTAATTTCTGCTTCAGTACGTCAACCAAAACCTTAAAGGAACATATCCTGAAGCCATCACATTATCATATAGATATTATACATTGATCAAGCAGAGCATTCTATGGTTTAAAATGCAGACAATCTGGCCTGAACCCAGACAAATGCTTGCAAACGTATAAAGGCAGCACACACACCCTAATCCCCCCCATCACCCCCCCACCCACACACACACTGTGACTTTGTTAATATTCTCACAGGAGGTTTTTCCATAATTCAGGCCAACTGTATTGTGATGGGTTATTCAACATTCATGAACTCTAGATATCTCGAGAACGAACTGATTACCAGACAAATGAAAGACTTCAATTATTCACCCCCAACTCAGATATCCACACAAGCACTGGAAAACATACACGCACACACACCTGCGACTTCAGCTTATAAGGCTTTTTGGAAGGAGCACTGCTCTTTCGTCATATAAAAAGACTGCCTTAGAAAAAGAAATCCATACAACAGCACTAAAAGAAGTATTAATCATAAATATGATATTTAAATTCTAGTGTCTAAAGCCACTTAGTGGACTTGAGCATGTCTTCTCCATAAACATGAATCAATTTCTAATGCTCTCACACATTGCGGGATACAAATAGACAAATCCCATGTATCACTGTCTCTCTGAGACATGGATACATCTTAAGATAGCTACAAACATGACGTAAGAAGGGATCTGATCTTTAAGAATGGATAATATTATTTTGAACAGCCATAATTCAGTGGTATATCAGTCAGTGCATGCACATGAAGACGCAGAGACAGGTGCATGTACATACACACAGGTGGACACACTGCTGGAGGTGTAGACACACACATGCGTGCACAAAAAAGATCAAAATACTCCAGACTCTGGACTCGAGGAGTTAACCAAGCGTGAGAACCCAGCCAATATTTCCTCACCTTTAAAATCAACCCATAATGACGATAGAATAGGCCTGCCTATGGAAATATCTCACAGTGATGTGAATGCACTCACATACACACATACGTACACACACGCATACATAAACACAGGCACAAATATACAGAAAGAGGACACACACATACACACAGGTAAGTGGAGTGTCTTCATAGTTGGTCCGTTTAAGCTGTTCTGAGATGGGAAATCAGCCTAATGAGAGAGTAATAGTCAATGATAGATGGGTTAGGGCAGACAATCACTGCCCCATAAGCATGAAACTAAGCCCTCAGTGCATGTTCCTGTATACTAGTGTGAATGTTTGGGTCTTGAGAGGCCAGAAGGTGAACAACTCAGGTCTTTGTTCTTTTCAGAGAAAATTTTCTCTTATTTAATTTTCAATAAACTCTATATTTCCTGAAACTCATAAACATACATTATTAGAATGTTTACATAATAAAATAACTTTATTTTTTTCAAGTTTGGAATTTATAGCTTTAATTAAATGATGACAAAGAATATTTATAAAACTAAGACGATTGGGAAGACACTCATGTCCTGAATCTAAACAAAGTCTGAGAGAAAAATATATTTACCCCCTTTCACTGATTTACATGTGTTTTATGAAAATAGTGACTTACCAGGAGGGGACCAGGTAAGTGATACGGAGTGAGGGCCTAAAACTGTCATGTTGAAGGGGGGTAGGATTCCAGTGGGGCAGGAGACTGGCATATCTACAGCATATATCTCACTCAAACCACTGCCGCCTGCTGTACTGGCCTCCAATTCATAGAAATACCTGAAGAGAAAATTAGGTATAGAGGAGAAGGAAGAAAATGGCAAAAGGGTGCAGTAGAAAGAGAGAGCAACAACAGAAGTATTAGTTAGAGGTCTGCTTAAAATAAAGACTCCAGAGACATAATTCTTAGTCCTTGTTTTTTATTCAAAATGGTACAAGAAATCTACTATCTATGTTGTGGCAAATTAAAACTGTAATTCTTCACAAATTAGGCTACTCATTGGGACATGTTTTGGTACACGAAAACACTGTAGAACACACTGTACATACAAGTGAAAGGAAGAAGATGTAATGCTCTTATAAAAATCCAAAATCAAAATTACTCCAATTATCCTGAATATCACCTGAGTACCACAGGGATTAGTGCTAGGACCAATTCTCTTTACTTTATATATGCTCCCAATCGGTAGAGTTATTAGACAGCATGGGATTAATTTCTACTGTTATGTTGATGATACCCAGCTATATCTGTCTATAAATCCAAATGAAGCTAACCCATTACATAGATTACAGGCATGTCTCGAAAACATAAAAACCTGGATGACTCTTAACTCTCTCCTTCTGAAAGCAGACAAAACAGAAGTTATAGTCTTTGGACCAGAGTCTTTGAAAAA